GTTTAAGGGGTTTGATGTAAACGTTGACCAAACGGACAATTAGTATACGTATGAATAAATATACGCAAAACTAGCAAAATGAAGATAAACTTATTTTCGCGATATTCAATAAATAGGTAAGGACTAATTACCATATGCACAAAATCTTTTAACTAAAGGCAAGTTCTTTTTGTATAAGGAAATTGGTTGCTTTAACTTTTATACTTAACAAACTATTTAAATTTATTTTTCTAATTTATAGCTATTTTGCGTCTCACAAGCTGGAATCAATTTATTGTCCTAATTTATAGCTATTTTTGACGTCTCCACAAGCTGGGAATTAACGAGAAAACGTTATTTTTCTTAACAAAAACTTTGTACTACTTATAGATCTTTTAAGTACTTAATATGCCTAATGTTGCTCATTATTATTTATAAGTTTTCGTAAATGCGTCCCCGCTGCTTAGGCAGAAATTATCCAAACGTTTACAAATTTAGGAAATTTGCTTGCAGCACTCGCAGAACTGTAAGTGCTGTACTTGGTTAGCGTTCATCAACGCGTAATAATATCTCCCGATCTAAACCAACAGGACTGTGAGCTCGCAGCGCAGTCGGTTAGACCAGTAAACTTCTAACCAGCAAGTCGCGAGTTCGAGCCCCGAGTAAGGCACTACTTGGGGTTGGGTGCAACTGGCTCAAGACGGCTGATAAGCCCAAAAGGGCAATTCCAGTTTCTCTTGCATTTGCCGGCAATGTTCAGCAGTCAAACTTTTTTTTGTCAATCTCTACACCTGGTTCCGCCCTCAATATCCTTGGGTGATGAGTGGGGAGAGAGTGCGGTAGATGCTGCGCAATTTGCTGTCATTATACTTGAAGTCCCGCGCAGGTCAAGGACCCTGCAACTACTTCGCTTTAGGACAGACGGTGGAAATAGTCGAAAACTAGGATCATCTGGTTGGGTTTTGCTTGAACATGTTTAATACCAGTGGAATAGGTAGATGATTTTGATAAATTCAAATACACTAGTCGCCGGCTATTAAGCCCACGGCTAATGAGCCCAGCCGCGTATTAAGCCCACATCAGCTTGGTACGGAATTTTACATAGCAAAATCCGCCGGCTAATAAGCCCAGTCGCCGGCGACGGAATTTTACATAGCAAAATCCGCCGGCTAATAAGCCCAGTCGCCGGCTTCAAAGCCCAGTTTGCCGGATGTGATTTGTTTTCATTTATCAAGATAAATTTGGTGACAACTTTTCGGACGGCAGCAGACGTGAGGGGTCAAAAGGATAAATCCCCAACACGAGAAATCCGCACGCGCAAAAGGCTAACGCACTCGAACTGCAGCGCTGAGGAAACACACACAAACACAAAAGGGGAACAATGCGTTCAGGCCCACGCTGGACGATGCCGACAGGCGTGACCCCAAAGCATACCAAGGTCGTCTG